CAAATACCACAATATAATATATGTATATTATATATATATATATATATATTTTTTTTTTTGTTTGTTTGTTGTTGAAAAGGGATGGAGACCTGGAGAGAGACATAAGAAACATCTGTGTCTGAGGTCAAAGCAAAACCCAAACTCAGGACCTCGCTGCCATAAGGAAGCTCCAGAGGTTTGCTGGCTTTACTGCTTTCTGTAAGGTAGGTGATGGATTCATTAAACTATTGAACCTTTGTTTCTCATAACATGTACAATGTTTTGAGTATTGTTTTATCTGTATAATATTATTATTAGTTATGCCTGTTAAAGGGTATTTTAAATGATTTATATTTGTTGGACAGGCAGTAGGTGTAACAACATTGCCAAAATGTATCTCTTACTGCATAAATCTTATGGCACAGAGGCCAACTCATACCTCTAGGGTAGGACACAAAGCCTTATTGTACTGAGGACACTATATATATATATATATATATAATATGAAATAGTATTATATATTTATTTTTTTTGCTCAGCATGTCTATCTACTGGTCAAAACCATGCATACATGATTACTGTTCAAGCCTAACTGACAGCATAAATGCTCTTTACTTTAATTTAATTGAGTGGCAGCTGCATTATGGTTTAGCTATTGTCGAGGTTAGGAAATGCTGGTTAAGGTTAGGTTAGGGAAATATCGGGGTTCAGCATTAAATGTAGTTTTGTCTAGGTTCCTAATTTTGCTGTTGTTACGTGATAAAACTTTAACACTTTAAAAATGTAAGGCAAAAAGGAGCTGATGCGTCAGTCATATACATTTTAGGATACTTTTTGAGAAGTTTACAAAAAAGTCAAGTTGTAGTGACAATGGAAGGACAAATGGGTTGTAGTTGCTGGCTATTTTCAAACATGGGCCTGGACAGTGGACAGTTGGTTGGAAACACTGTTACCTCGATAATGAGATTCAGGAAATGCCGTGCTGGTGCCTCAGCCACAGGGCTTGCCCAGGCTTATCTGCAAGCTGTACCATACAGAGAGAGAGAGAGAGAGAGAGAGAGAGAGAGAGAGAGAGAAGGAGTGAGTGAGTGTTATTTTAGTATAGATGCTTTCCTTTCACAGTAAACACTTGTGATGAATATTGAAGGCTGCTGTCAGTTTTAGAACATTCATGACATGAGTAGCCTATCTGACAATGTTTGTCAAAAAGGTCTGATCAATCAGTCACACACTGTACCATCTGGCAGTCATAATGCACAGACTGCTTTAAAAGAGCAGCAGGAAGATGTGGGAAGTGTATGTGTTTTTTTAAATAGATTTTTTTTCTTGCAGTATGGACTCAACAGTCTGAAAATGCTGGCCTCTATTGTCCATAGTTGAGGATATGAATGAGATGTTTTCCATCAACCTTGCTTAGTTGTCCACAGTTCTTCACTGCCATCTTCTTCACTTCCGGTATTTTTCAACTTGGACCTTGTTTTCCCATGTTGTTTTGTCTATGTGACTAATTGGCATATAATGTTTTGAAATTGGTCCAGTATTGAGCGAGCGCACTGCAGTCGGCAGGAGCAAGACAGGGCTGCAACATAATCCTTGAGGGCAATTGCACCCTATGTCTGACAACATTGTGGAAAGGACCCCTACAGAGATAAACCTTTTTTTTTTTTTTACAGTCACCACATTGCTCTCGTCAAAGCCAACAGAAGTATTTAAGTTGCAGAAAACTGGCATGTCGGTTAGTTAGTTTGTTTTGCGTGACTTTATTGTTTTTGTTTGTGTTTGAGGCAGCGGTAGACCAGAGAGGTAAACTTACTGTTTCTGTCAAGGGAATCCGGTGGCTTTGATGAAAGATTTATAGTGACTATTTCTGGTTAAATAAAAAGGATCTCACTCTTTAAATAAAGAGTTGTCTCTTTAGGGATCCTTTCCATAAAGTTGTCAGATGGAAGCATGTGAGTGGCAAAAACCAGCAGCTTTAGTGGACATACTTTTACGGGGTGCAATTTCCTGAAAGGATATTGTTGTATCCCTGCCGACTGCAGCACTCTCGCGCATTACAGGACCTTTTGTTTTAAATGTCCCAGTTACTCAAACATAGCACAGGACTCTTGGCACGCACCGTTGTAGTTACGTGACGAGTGTTTGTCAAATGTTATTTCTCTAATCTCAATCAAGCGGCAACCTCTGGGTCTGAAATTGAAACCTTGCAGACGGAACTTAAAACTGCTTTCGCTATAACGACCAGCAGGGGGCGAGTTCACTGGTTGCAAAAAAAAGTCCGGTTCCATTAGAAATAATGGTAAAATGTTGTTACTTGTCAGCTGATTTATTACCTCAGTAAACATTTTCATAATGAGTTTATGGTCTCAAGTTTATTTAGGGGGAAATAGATGATAATGCAGCATATGCTTTTGGGCAGGACTAACTTGTGATTGACAGCTCGCTACCATGGCGACCTGTCAATCGGGAAAGAGGCGAATTGTACTGTGTACATTTATTTTTATTAAATGGCTGTCAGCAGGAGACAGAGCTTGTCATGTTTGAGTCTGTTAGTATGATTTGTTTTAAAAGCAAATTTTTGTCCTTTTTATTTTTTATAATTTTGATTGATTAATTGATTTAAGTTAATTTTTTACATCCAGGATGTATTTAATAACCGTTTAAACATGTTAACAGTATAACATAACTTATAAATCTTTGGTTTTGTTGTAACACTGATAAATAACTTTTGGAAGGACGGCCAGTAAAAATTGTCAAATTGAAAGTTTTAAACCAACTGGCCCGGCGGGGCCGGTTGCAAGAAAGTTTAATGCTGAGCCCTGATAACACATAGGGTCCATGTTGAAAAATACCAAAGTTACTCCTCAAGGGTGAATATTACCTTTGAATGTGACACAAGCAGCGAGGGGAGCTACTCCACAGCTCTGGTGACTTAAGTGTTGATGGAAAACATTCAAAACATGAACAGCATATTTCGTATTTATCTGCATTAGTGTGGGCATGACATCAGACATGGCAAAACTGTCACATGTCATATCCGACTTCAGGTATAGAATGTCAGGATAGCTGTGCCATTAACCAATGCCAAAAGATTCAGCCATCAGCTGCCGGCCTTGACAATTGGTAACAAATCAAATTACTTATTATGTCATTGGCTAGTTATAATATAAATATTTTAGGTAGGAATGAAAATTACCTAAGAAATTAAAGTCCCCTGTGGTAAAAAAATTAAAATCGCCTTCATACCTCACTCTCTCTCTCCTTGACAAAGTGACCTGCATTATAATACATTAAGAAGATTTTGTAGTGCTTTTATGATACTTACAGTCAATAAGATTTAAATCATTTAATCGATTTATTGTGAGAATTATGAACAGGGACAAACTTACCATCTTACAATTTAAGCTAACCATCCACAGGAGCAGCCAAGGACAGACATTACTGCAACACACGTTGGCCAGGTCACAAAGTGTCACATCACAACTTGTTAGTGTCTCAATTGATGCCTTTCCAGATGGGAGTAGTAAAGGTAAAGCATAGCTGCATTGATGTGCCATCCTGCCAGCAAATGTGATAAAAATGCTGTTTTTCTAGAGAGTTGGCTCACGTTGACATTGGGAAATAGGACAGTGGTTTATTTTGACATGGTGACACGTGACAACCAATGATGACGCAGACCATATGCCGTTGGTGTGCATTGCCCTTTAGACTGTCATTTTTCAGGAAAGGGAAACGGTGAAAGAAAACAATGGACATCCTGGGCAATACCCTGGTTTGAGATGGTTTGTTTAGTTCCAAACTCTTTTTTTTTTTTCCAGGTAAAAAATATGATGACATTGTTGACGTGACTCCCTAAGGTAGACGTACATGATGGATGTAATACAGTGGGGAAGTGACCCTGCTGAAGGCACTTTAACATTTGGCTCAGAGGTTTGGTGACAAGGTGCTGATGAGATGTGACCTTGCAATCAAAATATCAAGGTCAGCATTCTCTTACCAGAGTGCGAATGGAACCAATATAAAACCAACATACTATTTGTGTCATGTTATGGTTATACATGACTGACAGGTTAAATTGAGGGGATAATTGATGAATATGTGAGCGGTTACACAAACAGAAAACCAGCAACCTCTCTTGGACCGTGAAGTCCAGGCTTAGTAAGATAACTGCACGGCTATAGTAATGTTAGCTATTCACAGTAGGTGCGTGAAAACTACTTGTATTGTTGTCATGCAGCTCTTAGTACATAACAAATTGAGTATACTTTGAATTTTCTCTCAGTAAATACATGTGGGGAGGCGAGATACTGTAAATGTGGGAGGCTTTTCCAGAAACGTTTCAGAATTTTATTTTGCTTCTAATTGTTCTTCACATTGTTTGTTGTTGTGCTATACCTCTGGGCTAGTAATCACTGTGTATGTACACACGATGATAACAGAATTTCTGGCAATTTGTTTAGGTGGCTAATTATATAATTATACAGCTGCTACTGCACATGTATTGTCCTTGTTTCCATGCAATGTGCTGCTCTCTTGCTCACTATTTTCATCTTCCTCTGTAGTCAATCTTGACTGTTGACCAGCAACTACTGAAAAGACTCCACTAAGCAATGAAGTTACAACAAAAGCGAGGTGTAAAACAACGTAAACTCTAGTGGTATTTCGTAATCAGGTAACAGGGATGAAGAAAGGAGATTAGATTGCTTCTTGGCTCAGTGCTCCTTTTCTTCGTAGCTATTTAACTTTACATATTTATCAAGCATTATTTGTTTCTCTGAGGAATATGGGCGGTGAACCTTTCTGTCTGACATGGCTGGCAATGGCACAGCAGTAATTGTGAAAAGCCAGACCAGGAGAAGTGCATATCTGTGTGTGTATGAGAGGGAAGGAGAGTAGGAGAGAGAAAACGAAAGGGTGGGGAGGTGCAGTGAGAAGCAGGGAGGGGGAATGTATGAGGGAGGGTGAAGGGGAGAGAGAGAGAGAGAGAGAGAGAGAGAGAGGGAGCGAGAGTGAGAGAGAGAGACAGACGAAGCGGGAGAACAAGCGGATCGCCTCATTCTGCTTCTTTCTCACATCCATCCTGCGAGATCCTATTCCAAAGAGGAGAGAGCTACATAACAAGCACATTGGAGAAGGAAAAGGAGGAAAAGATCCATTGAGGAGGGAGGATATCGAGGAAAATAACACATAATTAGGGCATCCACCTCTTATAGCTTTGGCAGAGGTGTCTGAAAGTTTCCTACTGGGGGAGACACCCTCTCCTTGTTGTGGGGATGAACAGCGGATGCTGAATTTCATACCTGAAGGCAGGAAGAAAGCTGTGAAGACCGGCTGGATTCACTTGCAGTGGAGCTGGTAGTGCGCACCAGAAGAGTCCCTACAGTGCTTCTTTCTCTCTCTTGCTCTGTCTCTCGCACACTCATTTTCCAGCAGAATACATAACGCTATTTTACTGTACCAAGGTGGAATATCGAGGGGAAGCAACCCTAAACCAGGGAAGTAAAGGGGAACGGATTATGTACAGAATCAATGAAGCACATCCTGTTCACACAAAGTAAGTTCTAATCAGAAAAGGCTTTAAGTTTGGTTTTGATTCTGACAGACTTGGAGGATTTTTGCCCTTTTTCTCTGTTGTGGAGCAGCACCGAGCTTCATACAGCTTATCTTTCGGACTATAAGGTTCTGGATGGTATTTCAAGGTAAGGACACATCCACAGGCTCTTGTGCATTAATAGCACTCTCCAGGTTTTTGAGAAAAGGGCAGATAAGGGATCTGAAAAGCTTAGTATGAAAGATACAGTCAAGTGGGATAAAGAGAACGGAAGATAGGAAAGATGTGTGAGTCTTACCCAAGACTGTATTTAGTCAGTTTTATAGAAAGTGCAAAGTTGGGATAAATGTCTTAATAATACAATATGTCCCAGGGCTTGGAGTGAACATGATTGCTTTGCTTTTAGATGGAATGCTAATCCCCTCTGCGGAGAAGAATGGATCTATGTGTATTTGCATACTTATGCATGTGTGTTTGCTGAGAGCGGAGATGGCTGTCTGCAAAGCAATTCATCTTTTTGCTTCCTTGCTACATAACGGTTCTCACCAAGGGAGGCTGCCAGTGGAAGGGGCATAATTGCGATAGTTGTCCTCATTTTTGCAATAGCTAGGATCTGTGAGTGCAGGGAATTACTTTTGTACAGTAGCCACATTTTATTCATAATGGTGGGTGCCTCACTGCATTTTAAAGGCTGCCCTGTCCCTTTTACCTCTGCTCACAGAGAACTGATTGGGTGCAGTATTACACTATACCTTCACCTGCAGTTTCTAGGTAAATAAGTTTGTCAGTGTGATTCTGGTCCAGCAATGCATCTCTTTCCATGTCTCTTAATCTCTGTTTTTCTAGCTCTTTCTCTCCAAATGACAAAGTGATGCTACACTAATGTATTTATATATCTCTCTTGCCAACTACCTTTTCAGATATAAATTAAGAGTGTTTTAGGGAGACAGTGTACAGACAAAATGATAAAGGTATACACTGTTGTGTTTCTTGTTAGGGAAGAATGAATCTGCTGCCCTCTTGATCAATAGCAGACAAGTGCAAGGCTACCTCCTTTGTAAGGCAACGGTTGAAATATTTATGATTGCATGAGCATCCTGTTGGTCCCCTGAAATATTTAAAATAATTGAATAATAAATAGTCTGCCTTAGTTGTCAAAACCTTACTTTAGACTGGGCAGATGATTATATCCTCCTCATGTAAGATGCAAAACAGTGACCATTAAATGCCTTTGCCTCTGGATATAAAAATTCAAAAGAAGTCTCTGCTCTTGCAAAACATCCACTGGGGGGAAGTGGAGCCTGATAGGAAGTTGATGACAGCTCCTTTGTATGTGGTGTTGACTGGCTATATGTGGCTCAAATCACCAATTGTTCCTCTGCATATAGTCTGTAGCTTGATTGCAAGAAGCTGCTGTGCACACATTTTCTATTGAAATCCCATTTAGCATTCAAGAGGATTGTATGCAATTGCATCCTAATGAAAAAGATGCAAATCTGTCATCTGCTCTGCCTGCCTTTTAATCTAATGAGCTACATCTACAGTATGTATATGTCAAATATGCTTAATGGTGTGTACATACGTGTGTAAGAGAGCGTGTAAGAGTGGAAGGGAGTTTCTGAGTGTATTCGGTATCTGCGTGGGTGTGTATTTGTCCAGAGCTCTGAGCTTCATCCCTTTTGATGTTTTATTGAGTGTTAACCATGGTAGGACTGACGCAGTGCCTCTGATATGTAGTAGCATGGTTAAAGGAAAGCACTAAGACCGACTTTGCTCTTTCTTGTAGTTCCTTTACTCTGAATTAGCAATGCTGTGTCTGCCTCTTTCAGCTCTTTGGATTTGGTAAATGATTTGGTTCAGACACTATATATGTGCATTTGTGTGAGACTGTGTGTGTGTGTGTGTGTGTGTGTGTGTGTGTGTGTGTGTGCTTATATACATCTGTGTGTGTGTATAAGCAACTAGGGTATATGCACACATTGTGCATACATATGGTGTGTGTGTGTGCCCAGGTGAAACGTATGCTCTGAGTGTATATAATCCCCTTCTCTCTCCCATTTACTGATGTTAACAGAGGAGTCAAAGACAAGGCCCTCCATTTTCAATGATATTATGCATCCACTGAATCACAGGATGGACGGAACAGAGGGAAGGAGCCCTGCACCCTATGATTATTCAGTGCTATTGACAGCATGTTTACATAAGTCAAAAATAAGAGGAAACGTTGATGGCAAAATGCTGGGCTTTTGATTTATTACTCTCAGAAACAGAGTTTGAATCAGTATGCATGCAAGCCAGTAGGCAGCTGAAATCTGACACACCTGCTTCCAAGTATAATAAATCAATTCCAATCATAAGTGTGGCTTTTTGGCATGGGAGGGTATCAGCAACATATCAGTCAATTGTAGAAGTTACATCTCAAGCCAAATATTTTAAACAGTTTTTTATGTTGCCAGTGGTAAAATGAGACTTAACACATTGTCGAGGAACAGTTCATAACTATGAATATTCCATGAATATCAGTAATTGATATAGCTTTTTCTAAACATGTCATACCTCAACATATCTGTTGTGGTATATCCATTGCGTTTGTTGTAATGGTGAATACAGACTAAATTCAGATATCTCTTATGAGTCATCAAATGATCTTGTTATTGTAACAAATGAGACAGAACAGATAAGTTATAAGTGTAATTAGATTTTTTTTGGGGGGGGGGGTTATTAAGTTTAAGTTTGTCAAGATTTGTTTTTATTATTACATTTTACCTTTTGGCTATCTATTTAAAGAAAAATGGACATCTGAACACAAAGTGGAATAAATGAAACATATTTGATACTTGATATGCATTTATAGCTGTGGAAAATGTAGGCCCTAGCAGACATTGAAATTAAATAGAATTTGTTCTAAAGTTTCAAAGAAAAGATACAATGCAGTGGCATCTTTGCACAGCCATATGCATATTTTTACATATACATATTTTTCAGGTTTTTCAGGTGCTCCAAAATATATGAGCATATAATTTAGCTATAAATACTTTAGATAATGTCTATTATTTGTATATTATAAATAATTTTACCACCTTCTGTGTAAAAAACATGTTGAATACTTAATTTGTTGTCAGAGAACAGATGGATAAAGACCTCTGTCAAAAACAAGGCCTGTAACCAGAAGCAGAACAGTGTATTTTTAGCCTGTCCATTAAGGACACGGAAGAAAAATCAATGATCACAGACTGAAACACTGGGTTTCAAATTTAAGTTTCTTTTTTCTGTATGACCTTTGGATACAGTTGGGAATATGTACTTTGGAAATCTCACATAGATGTAAATGAAAGCAGGCTTTTTTCTTTGTTAGTGTAATTTATGTATTTAAAATAAACTTGACAGGCAACAAATAAATACATTCATAGATTCTTTTGTTGGTAGTGTCTGGGTAACATTAGCACAGTAGGAGTACTTTTTTTTTTTACATTAATATCACATAGCCATGTGACTTTACCTCATACTTTACATTTCTGTGAGTTTATTTGTAGTTGTCACTAAGAAATACATTAACATACTCATGTTAGCTATTATGAGCTACACATCTGTAGCATATACACCACCAGCTGGCAGAAACAAACAGAAGACCTTATTTTAAATGGAGGTCTGGTCAGCTGGAGACCAAGCCGTGAACGGATCTGTTGTCAGCCCCTTTGAATCCCTGATGAGGCGAAACACAATATGCTCGAACAGCTGGGTCATTTATGGAATATGCTTACTCATCATGGTTGACTGCCGCTAAAAGGAGGAGGAAAGAATAGAGAATACTTCTCAATGAAGCTCATTTAAAATGAAGCTCATTTATTAGTTTCCAAAGCTATGACAGCCCTTTCCTAAAAGACATTTGAGAGAAGACCTTTGGATAAACAGGGCAACTAATGCACTTACCATAATCTTATAAAAGTGACATGAACTAAACCATTGGCTGACTATTAAGCACAATATTCTCCATTGAATATTTGACAGTAAGGGCATATCTGTGTTTTACTGTGTAGCTCTTTTTTGAATAAGCAGTTATAATTGAGGCAGTTAGCTGCCAGTGTCACTAAAGGTAACATAGTATAGTAGTATAACTGCAGCTTCTTGTATGGATAAAAAATAAATGCTTGGCAAAAGAGATAAGGAAAAGGAACACAGATTTTTTGTTTGACGTCAGTTGAAGACGTGATGTGCTAAGTGACTGCTGGTGGCAGTGTAACCCTTTTGGGATACAGTAACCAGGAGGCTGTCTGGAGCTTGAGGACTGATCTACAAACAGCTTCCATTGACAGTGACCTTGCTGTCTGTGTCACTTTGCAGTGTGACCTTCCTGGGCAAGCTGCCGAGGGCAATAAGTTGGCTTTGGAAAAGTCTCTTTCCATGTGTGTTGACAAGGAGCATTAGTAAGGGTCAGGGATGACGTACCTGGCTAAGAATACGGGGCAGAGGATGTTGCACCATGTGGCAGCTGAAATACAACAAGAGGAAAACAGGGGAAAAAAGTATTTTGGGCTATTCCTCCAGAAACAAACAAGGATCGAATGTCCTCGAGCTGTGTAAGCTTAAATGAAGAAACCTTATATTATAACTAGAGCTGTCCCCGACTAAGGATTTAAATAGTTGAACTGATCGTCTAGTCAACTGATAGTCGAATCGTTGTTGACCATTTTTTCTCTCTCTCTCTCTCTCGCCTGCCATTCACCGGCCTTTTGCAGAGTTTTGCGTGCATGCCGTGCTGCCGACAACTGCATGCACGTCGTGGTTGTCGCAGGTCTATTTCAAGTAGCCGGCAATAAACAATAACTCCTTCCATCCCTCTCTTTTCTCTCTGTTCCTCTCTTGCTCTCTCTCTCTCTTTCTCTCTCTCTCTCTTTCTCTCTCAACCGGTCGAGGCAGATGGCCGCCCACCCTGAGCCACGGTTCTGCTCGAGGTTTCTGCCTCTTAAAAGGAAGTTTTTCCTTGCCTCTGTCGCCTAGTGCTTGCTCTTGGTGGGAATTGTTGGGCTTCTGTAAATAACATCACAGAGTACGGTCTAGACCTGCTCTTTTATGAAAAGCGCTGTGAGATAACTGTTGTGATTTGGCGCTATATAAATAAAATTGAATTGAATTGAAAATATTCTTTGT